ATAATAAGTGTAAGTACTTAGAGCTTCTCTGGTGTTTTTGATAGAGACCAAATTACTTTATTCTATTAAAAGTGATTAGATACAACTTGTGTTCAATAAAGTAACTTAATTTAATGATTAATAAATATTAGATTTTATTGGTTAAGACTCTCTGGTTTCTTTGACACCTCGATTTATTGAGATGATCATTGGAGAGACAATTATGTTCCATTTATATATGTATCACTATTGATTGATAATGGAAATAACTAATTATTGTATCACATGTTTGTTCACTTGTTAAATCATTGTATTCACCTATATATTGTGAATTTTGTATGTGCTTCAATAGCTTGATAAAAGCCCTAAGGGGCCAAAACGTTGCTGTGTAGTTCCTGGTTCAAATAAATTGCCTTGATTTTGAAACCTGTTGGAGTGCCTGGATTATTCTCTACATTTACCAATGTTGTCAATGACATAATTGAAGAGGCTAGAAACTCTGCTGCCATGTTGGAACACAGTCAGGGACTGGAGAAGGCCGAGGCAGCAGGTCATGAAGTAGCTGTTTATGGAAGCACTGACTCTGCGGCCCACAATATAGTTATCTCCTGTGCATGATTTAGTAGATTCTGTGAGGGTGTTAACTATATGGTGCGCACAAAATAGCTAAAGCTTGTGCACAAGTTAACTATCTTGCAGAGGCACTTTAATATGTTTTGGATATGATAAATTAAATGATGCACACCATATTCTACAGCATGTGCATTGTATAAAAATATATATATATATAGTTTCAATCAGTCTGATGAATAGAAATTATCCATTTGATGGTTGGCTTTTATATATATACATGAAAGAAGTAGGTGGAGTATAGTTGGTTCTCAGGTATAATAGTATTAACAAAAAATATATATGAATACCGCACTCAATGTTGTAAAATAATCAACCGTAGGTAAAGAAGTGCTGTAATTGAGTTTATTATGTTCAATTCTTTAATGTATAGTTATATAACTTAATATGTGAGATTATGATTTGATCAAAAGAATATATTACATCATATAGTCAATCGCTATTTACACAAATAACCTCCATAGGTGTTATATAAATAAATAATTAATGTATAAACACAGTTGTAAGTATTTCTGTTTGCAAAACTAAGGAGAACCTATCCATATGGATAATAGTCGAATCTGTGGTGTTCTATGTACATAGAAAAAAGAAAAAAGAGAAAAAAGAAGAAAAACTGAAAAAAATTTACAAAAATGATGAAAAATTGAAAAAATATGTAAAAAATATACAGATAATAAATGTCCTGATGTACAATAGTCCAGAGAATAGTGCACTTTTAGATAATAAATAGGTGGATCTCACCAAGTTGGATATCCAGATGGATTGTAGCCTTAGTAGCAACTGGAAAAAATGAAGACTCTGTGAAGAATGGAAAAGTATCTATTGGAGGGTTTTTAAACCTGCTGAATTCCTGCTGTGCGTTGAAAAGAGGACTCAATGAAGGTGTCAGATGTGATCCTCGTATGTCTCCCTCAAGGTGTCGTCACAGTACTTGGGCTGCGCGCTCGGGACATCCATGTCCCTTCGAAGGCCCCTGTAATCTGTTGGAGAAATAAAATCATTTATATATCCTATCTTTGGCGGCAAAATCTCGCCGTGACCTGTGGAACTCCCCCACTTCCGGGTTTCGACGACTGTGTACGTGCGTGATTACGTCATCATATTCAAATGTATCTTTATTGTCCATATCAAACTGCACACGAACAAGGGGTGTAAATGAAAAGTCAATGTTAATTGGTAAAATCCGTGATGAGGAGGACCCCAAGATAATATTGTTAATAACCATGATATGATTATATATATTTTTAAGTATTAGACTGTGACAGACCATGGATAATAGATAGTTAATAGTTAACAAAAGATTTAATGATCAGTGGGCTAGATAGGAGGTAACCCCACCTGGGGAAAAAATCATAAAATAGATTAAATGATATATCATAAATTATGTATCCTCATACTGCTGGAAAGTATTAATGACTAAACAGTGCCAAAGTAAAGAACAGCATAGAAAGGTGTACTCCTACTGGGGACAATATATAAATATAAAGATATTAAGATATCTTGGCTGCCAATGTGAAGGAATCTATAAACATATATATATAAATAATTGTAAATAGAAATATACATCTTGTATCAAAAATGATTTAAAGAGACAATAAGAAAAAATATATAATTAGAGAAATGGAGAAAAAAATATAAACAATTGAAAAAATAATGAAAAAATTAAAAAGTAAAAAAATATGAAAAATTAGAAAATTTAGTGATATATGACACTCTGCACATGTAACTCACCGGTAATGTAATAACTCTCAGTGATCCTGGGCTGTGCATGTGAGGGACCCTGCTGTATACACAGGTGGCGGACCCAGAAGGGTCATAGGACAGCGATCCAGAGCGACGGACCAATAATGGTCTAGAGAGGAAACTGTAAGGAGCGCAAAAGGGGGTAAAGAAAACCAACATGAGCCAATAATGCGAATAGTGAACCATATTACAGAAAATGTTTCAGGTCATAGTCCTCATTGAGACCTAATGGTGACAACGTTTCCAAGGTACTGATCCATTTGGTTTCCCTTTGGAGTAAGAGTTTCTGTCTGTCTCCACCTCTGCGTAGTGGTGGAATTCTATCTATAACTTGGAACCTTAATTGGTTCACATTATGGCCACAAGTTTTAAAATGTCTTGGTACTGGTGCTTCAACAGCATCATGCTGTAATGCTGCCCTAATGCTCCTCTTATGTTCCCCTATCCGTTCTTTGACCGGCCGAATAGTCTCCCCCACATACAGGAGACCACACGGACACTTGAGTATGTACACAACAAAATCTGAGTTACAAGTGTAGAAGTCCTTCACAAAAAACTTTTTACCAGATCGGGGGTGAACGAAATATTCCCCCTTGATCACACTGCTACAATGTGAGCAATTAAGGCAAGGGAAAGTGCCTTTCTTTGGTTCCGAAAAAAATCTAACTTGTTTTTTGGAACTACCTATATCTGATTTGACCAAAAGGTCTCTCAAATTAGGAGCCCTCTGGTATGAAAATAATGGAGGGTGTTGGAATATTGACGGTAATTGAGAGTCACCCTCAAATAGTCGCCAATGTTTGAGTATTACTTGTCGAATGTCCCTATTTAGCGGGGTAAATGGTGTTACAAATGTTAACCTCTCTAATTTCCTATCCGTTCCTGTCCCTACTAGGGTTTCCTGTCGGGTCAGTTTTTCAATTTTTTGTCGTTGGCTCTCTACTATCTGTACAGGATAACCCCTCTCTCTGAATTTGTTGGCCATAAAGTCCAATCCAGATATGACTTTCTCCTCTTGCGAAACTATTCGTCTCACTCTCAGTAATTGACTGAAAGGTAGACCATTTTTTAGATGCATGGGGTGAAAACTGGCATATGTCAATAAGTTGTTCCGATCAGTTGGTTTTATGTATAAATCACTGTGTAAAGAGTTATTCACCCTCTGTACCAGGACATCTAAAAAGGGAACCGAATTCATGTCACAATACATTGTGAATTTGATGTTAGGGTCTTGTGTGTTCAAGGCCTCATAGAAGTCCTGTAATTGGGCCCTCGAGCCGCTCCAGCATATGAAAACATCATCTATATATCTTTTCCAAATTACGCATTTCGCGAATAGGTTATGTGAATAAATACTCATCTCTTCTAAACGGTTCATGTAGATGTTTGCATATGTTGGAGCGACATTTGAGCCCATGGCAGTTCCTTTGATCTGTTTGTAATATTTGTCTCTAAAGAGGAAATAGTTCTCTGTTAATATGAAGGTAAGTAACTCCCTAATATACTTTCTAGTGTCATTCTGATGAATGAGAAGGGGATCCTTATCTAGCGTCCAGTCAACTGCCTCTATTCCTCTATTATGGTCTATGGATGTATATAGTGACTGTACATCCATGGTGACTAACCAGAATTCACCTGGCGGGATCTGTATATCAACTAGTAGTTTAAGAAAAGTGGTAGTATCTTTAAGGTATGATTTCTGGGACGGAACATATTTAATCAAAAATTTGTCTAATATCTCTGCTGGATGTTGAAAAATAGAACCAGTCCCACTAACTATGGGTCTCCCCGGAGGGAAGAGTGGGTTTTTATGGATCTTTGGGAGAGTATAAAAAACTGGAATCCTGGGGTATTTAAGATTCATGTATCTGTATTCTCCGTCTGAAATGATACCTCTCGATAATGCCCATTGATTGAGCTTTTCTAACCTGGATTTAAGGTTGTGTGTGGGGTCCTGATTGATGGCCAAATAGTTGGAATTATCCCTTAGTTGTGTCTCTATCTCTCCCACGTAATAAATACGATCCATAATCACCAATGCTCCTCCCTTATCTGCTGGTTTGATAATGATAGATGTGTCTTTTTTTAAATTATTGATATGTGCCCAATCCTGTTTAGTGAAATTTACAGTCTGTTGTCTGTGTTTATGTATATGTTGGTGTTTCCTCCTCAATTTATATACATCTTTTTTAACAAGGTTGGTAAATAAATCAATTGATGCATTAACATTGTGTGGTGTAAAAGTGCTTTTAGGTTTCAAACCTGTCTCAAGCGGTAGGACCCCATCAGGATCATTCTGTGAAATATTTTGTCCCACCATAATTTCTTCCACTGGTTGGGTTCCCTGTATGTGTTGAGTACTCATACTGCTAAAAGGAGCTGTCATATGTTCTGTGGAAAAAAATGCACGTAATTTGAGTTGTCTGAAAAATTTATATAAACTCACATCATACTGGTGCCATTCTATATTAGGTGTGGGAACAAAGGATAATCCCTTATTCAAGGTTACCTCTTCTGCGGGTGATAGTGGCCTACCTGAAATATTATGTATCAGAGATTGCGTCTGGATTGGGGTAGTCGGCCTTTCCTTTTCTCCCGTGAACCTCTTGTTGTAACCCCCCCTCCTGATGTTTCTTCGAATCGTGTGCCTCTCTCTAAAAAAGTCACTCCTGATGATGAGGAGGCAGAGGAAGAAGATGTAACTCCTTCTGTGTCCGAACGCCATTTCTGTGAATTTATATCCCTATTGGGTCTATATGATCTATTGTCTGTCCTTGTGTACCACGAATATACTTGATCTCGCTGGTAATCTAATTCGTCCCTATGAAATTTTCTCTTTTTAAACTCTTCTGTTTCTTTCTGGTATTCCTTCAATTTATCTTCTATCTGTTTTTTCAGAGTTTCAAGATCAGTTGAGGCTGTTACTGCTGCCAATTCTTGTTCGACTGTTGCTATCTCCTTAACTAGTTTAACCAGCTCTTTTTGTAGAGATTCAATAGTCAGTACCATCAGATCTACTGAGCATTTATTTAAGATCTTGTACCACACAGTGCGATGTTCAGGGTTATCCCTGCACAGTGTAGGATGTAGTCTAACCCTTAATCCCCTTGGGATTCTTTTTTGTCTTAAATATTCACCAAGTGTGCTGATGTGTAATTCCCAGCTTAATTTTTTCTTTAACTCTCTCTCAAGTTTCTGTGCTATCCCCCGTTCGTTGTCACTTGTTAGAAACTCTCTGGCTCCTCTGAGGGCGGACGTAATGCGATTAATATCACCCTCCGTATAGGCAAAAGTTGCCATAAGTGGTAGTCTCTATCTGTATATAGCTAGACGATATGTAATAAACAACTTGTCTACTTAATAATTGTTAGTCATATGAAGGTGCTACAGCATTAGGGAAAAAATACATACAAAAAGATAATTTATGCTGGCACTCAATCACATAGGTGGTGCTGGTATTCGAGGTTATCCCTACAAAAGCCCCAAAAATATCATACAAAAAATATATATGAATACCGCACTCAATGTTGTAAAATAATCAACCGTAGGTAAAGAAGTGCTATAATTGAGTTTATTATGTTCAATTCTTTAATGTATAGTTATATAACTTAATATGTGAGATTATGATTTGATCAAAAGAATATATTACATCATATAGTCAATCGCTATTTACACAAATAACCTCCATAGGTGTTATATAAATAAATAATTAATGTATAAACACAGTTGTAAGTATTTCTGTTTGCAAAACTAAGGAGAACCTATCCATATGGATAATAGTCGAATCTGTGGTGTTCTATGTACATAGAAAAAAGAAAAAAGAGAAAAAAGAAGAAAAACTGAAAAAAATTTACAAAAATGATGAAAAATTGAAAAAATATGTAAAAAATATACAGATAATAAATGTCCTGATGTACAATAGTCCAGAGAATAGTGCACTTTTAGATAATAAATAGGTGGATCTCACCAAGTTGGATATCCAGATGGATTGTAGCCTTAGTAGCAACTGGAAAAAATGAAGACTCTGTGAAGAATGGAAAAGTGTCTATTGGAGGGTTTTTAAACCTGCTGAATTCCTGCTGTGCGTTGAAAAGAGGACTCAATGAAGGTGTCAGATGTGATCCTCGTATGTCTCCCTCAAGGTGTCGTCACAGTACTTGGGCTGCGCGCTCGGGACATCCATGTCCCTTCGAAGGCCCCTGTAATCTGTTGGAGAAATAAAATCATTTATATATCCTATCTTTGGCGGCAAAATCTCGCCGTGACCTGTGGAACTCCCCCACTTCCGGGTTTCGACGACTGTGTACGTGCGTGATTACGTCATCATATTCAAATGTATCTTTATTGTCCATATCAAACTGCACACGAACAAGGGGTGTAAATGAAAAGTCAATGTTAATTGGTAAAATCCGTGATGAGGAGGACCCCAAGATAATATTGTTAATAACCATGATATGATTATATATATTTTTAAGTATTAGACTGTGACAGACCATGGATAATAGATAGTTAATAGTTAACAAAAGATTTAATGATCAGTGGGCTAGATAGGAGGTAACCCCACCTGGGGAAAAAATCATAAAATAGATTAAATGATATATCATAAATTATGTATCCTCATACTGCTGGAAAGTATTAATGACTAAACAGTGCCAAAGTAAAGAACAGCATAGAAAGGTGTACTCCTACTGGGGACAATATATAAATATAAAGATATTAAGATATCTTGGCTGCCAATGTGAAGGAATCTATAAACATATATATATAAATAATTGTAAATAGAAATATACATCTTGTATCAAAAATGATTTAAAGAGACAATAAGAAAAAATATATAATTAGAGAAATGGAGAAAAAAATATAAACAATTGAAAAAATAATGAAAAAATTAAAAAGTAAAAAAATATGAAAAATTAGAAAATTTAGTGATATATGACACTCTGCACATGTAACTCACCGGTAATGTAATAACTCTCAGTGATCCTGGGCTGTGCATGTGAGGGACCCTGCTGTATACACAGGTGGCGGACCCAGAAGGGTCATAGGACAGCGATCCAGAGCGACGGACCAATAATGGTCTAGAGAGGAAACTGTAAGGAGCGCAAAATTGAGTGCGGTATTCATATATATTTTTTGTATGATATTTTTGGGGCTTTTTGTAGGGATAACCTCGAATACCAGCACCACCTATGTGATTGAGTGCCAGCATAAATTATCTTTTTGTATGTATTTTTTCCCTAATGCTGTAGCACCTTCATATGACTAACAATTATTAAGTAGACAAGTTGTTTATTACATATCGTCTAGCTATATACAGATAGAGACTACCACTTATGGCAACTTTTGCCTATACGGAGGGTGATATTAATCGCATTACGTCCGCCCTCAGAGGAGCCAGAGAGTTTCTAACAAGTGACAACGAACGGGGGATAGCACAGAAACTTGAGAGAGAGTTAAAGAAAAAATTAAGCTGGGAATTACACATCAGCACACTTGGTGAATATTTAAGACAAAAAAGAATCCCAAGGGGATTAAGGGTTAGACTACATCCTACACTGTGCAGGGATAACCCTGAACATCGCACTGTGTGGTACAAGATCTTAAATAAATGCTCAGTAGATCTGATGGTACTGACTATTGAATCTCTACAAAAAGAGCTGGTTAAACTAGTTAAGGAGATAGCAACAGTCGAACAAGAATTGGCAGCAGTAACAGCCTCAACTGATCTTGAAACTCTGAAAAAACAGATAGAAGATAAATTGAAGGAATACCAGAAAGAAACAGAAGAGTTTAAAAAGAGAAAATTTCATAGGGACGAATTAGATTACCAGCGAGATCAAGTATATTCGTGGTACACAAGGACAGACAATAGATCATATAGACCCAATAGGGATATAAATTCACAGAAATGGCGTTCGGACACAGAAGGAGTTACATCTTCTTCCTCTGCCTCCTCATCATCAGGAGTGACTTTTTTAGAGAGAGGCACACGATTCGAAGAAACATCAGGAGGGGGGGTTACAACAAGAGGTTCACGGGAGAAAAGGAAAGGCCGACTACCCCAATCCAGACGCAATCTCTGATACATAATATTTCAGGTAGGCCACTATCACCCGCAGAAGAGGTAACCTTGAATAACCTTGAGTTTATATAAATTTTTCAGACAACTCAAATTACGTGCATTTTTTTCCACAGAACATATGACAGCTCCTTTTAGCAGTATGAGTACTCAACACATACAGGGAACCCAACCAGTGGAAGAAATTATGGTGGGACAAAACATTTCACAGAATGATCCTGATGGGGTCCTACCGCTTGAGACAGGTTTGAAACCTAAAAGCACTTTTACACCACACAATGTTAATGCATCAATTGATTTATTTACCAACCTTGTGAAAAAAGATGTATATAAATTGAGGAGGAAACACCAACATATACATAAACACAGACAACAGACTGTAAATTTCACTAAACAGGATTGGGCACATATCAATAATTTAAAAAAAGACACATCTATCATTATCAAACCAGCAGATAAGGGAGGAGCATTGGTGATTATGGATCGTATTTATTACGTGGGAGAGATAGAGACACAACTAAGGGATAATTCCAACTATTTGGCCATCAATCAGGACCCCACACACAACCTTAAATCCAGGTTAGAAAAGCTCAATCAATGGGCATTATCGAGAGGTATCATTTCAGACGGAGAATACAGATACATGAATCTTAAATACCCCAGGATTCCAGTTTTTTATACTCTCCCAAAGATCCATAAAAACCCACTCTTCCCTCCGGGGAGACCCATAGTTAGTGGGACTGGTTCTATTTTTCAACATCCAGCAGAGATATTAGACAAATTTTTGATTAAATATGTTCCGTCCCAGAAATCATACCTTAAAGATACTACCACTTTTCTTAAACTACTAGTTGATATACAGATCCCGCCAGGTGAATTCTGGTTAGTCACCATGGATGTACAGTCACTATATACATCCATAGACCATAATAGAGGAATAGAGGCAGTTGACTGGACGCTAGATAAGGATCCCCTTCTCATTCATCAGAATGACACTAGAAAGTATATTAGGGAGTTACTTACCTTCATATTAACAGAGAACTATTTCCTCTTTAGAGACAAATATTACAAACAGATCAAAGGAACTGCCATGGGCTCAAATGTCGCTCCAACATATGCAAACATCTACATGAACCGTTTAGAAGAGATGAGTATTTATTCACATAACCTATTCGCGAAATGCGTAATTTGGAAAAGATATATAGATGATGTTTTCATATGCTGGAGCGGCTCGAGGGCCCAATTACAGGACTTCTATGAGGCCTTGAACACACAAGACCCTAACATCAAATTCACAATGTATTGTGACATGAATTCGGTTCCCTTTTTAGATGTCCTGGTACAGAGGGTGAATAACTCTTTACACAGTGATTTATACATAAAACCAACTGATCGGAACAACTTATTGACATATGCCAGTTTTCACCCCATGCATCTAAAAAATGGTCTACCTTTCAGTCAATTACTGAGAGTGAGACGAATAGTTTCGCAAGAGGAGAAAGTCATATCTGGATTGGACTTTATGGCCAACAAATTCAGAGAGAGGGGTTATCCTGTACAGATAGTAGAGAGCCAACGACAAAAAATTGAAAAACTGACCCGACAGGAAACCCTAGTAGGGACAGGAACGGATAGGAAATTAGAGAGGTTAACATTTGTAACACCATTTACCCCGCTAAATAGGGACATTCGACAAGTAATACTCAAACATTGGCGACTATTTGAGGGTGACTCTCAATTACCGTCAATATTCCAACACCCTCCATTATTTTCATACCAGAGGGCTCCTAATTTGAGAGACCTTTTGGTCAAATCAGATATAGGTAGTTCCAAAAAACAAGTTAGATTTTTTTCGGAACCAAAGAAAGGCACTTTCCCTTGCCTTAATTGCTCACATTGTAGCAGTGTGATCAAGGGGGAATATTTCGTTCACCCCCGATCTGGTAAAAAGTTTTTTGTGAAGGACTTCTACACTTGTAACTCAGATTTTGTTGTGTACATACTCAAGTGTCCGTGTGGTCTCCTGTATGTGGGGGAGACTATTCGGCCGGTCAAAGAACGGATAGGGGAACATAAGAGGAGCATTAGGGCAGCATTACAGCATGATGCTGTTGAAGCACCAGTACCAAGACATTTTAAAACTTGTGGCCATAATGTGAACCAATTAAGGTTCCAAGTTATAGATAGAATTCCACCACTACGCAGAGGTGGAGACAGACAG